TACAATTTTTAAACTTTTTAGGATTTTTTTTTGCGATACTTTATATATTATAGTATGTTAGCTACGTATAATTTTTTTATCTTAACAAACTAATACCATAAAGATGTTTTATATTTTTTATCAATATTACTTTTTTAAATTGTTAAGCTATAGGCAGTTCACGTAAGATTAGGATAGATTAAGATATAAATGAAATATTCAAAATAGTGAAGAGTAATATTGATCATAGAAAGATTCTCCAGAACTCGTGCTTTTAAAGGGAGTACGATATTTTGATCTTGATACAGATTTTAGACTCAAAATGTCAACAATCAAAAAAAAGGATACCTCGACAATATTGAAAATTTCAAGACATGATCTAACTTCCCATGCGACATTATGCACTACATTATAGGATTTGATGGTACGTGAGTGTTCCCTTGTTGAACGAATCAGACTTGTTTCAGCGTGCAAGAGATGGAGGTCGATCTCAGACTCAAAATGCCTTCTTTCTCTGCTTTCGTTATGTCATATACTCCGCCATGGTAGCAAACATGGAAACTGAAGTTTGTAGTGATGTCTTCCTACTGAAAAAAAAATATCATTTTCAGAACTCACATTCATCAATTCCCCTAAAGTACAGTATTGCACCTAATTACTCCATTAGAGTAGATCCAGTTATTCCTTTCAATGAGAAATGGCAGAATACATAGTGCAATACATAACAATTTAGATTACATCCAACTTGTTAGGAATTTTATGGAGATTAATCTGTGGAATTAAACACTAAACAAATAACGCACAAATAAAAATACCACTCGCAAGCAAACACAAATATTTAACGTAGTTTAGCAAATCGTGCCTACATCCACAGGACAATCTAGAGAGAAATATTCCACTATCAATCAATAGTACAATCTTTTAAAGTTATACCCAAACTTGAGGATCAAATCATAAGAGAAAAATACAATATTACCTCTAAGGCACCAAAACCCTAAAACTTGTCTCACCACTAATCTCCAATACTCACGGAGAAATCAACCCCATACCCTTGATGGTGTCATCGTTCTGAAGATAACGGCGTTTGAATCACTACAATCGGATAACCGAGCTATCCGGAATCTCAATAATATATGCCTACTAAAGCTAAAGTAAAATATGATAAAAAGAGAGTAATTCATAAATCCTATTTAAAATTAACTAGTGAATTCAATTATAGATTATACTAACTTATCTACTTGTTTTTCTTCAATCTTTCTTGATTTAATTTCTCTCCCTCTATGCCTACTAAAGCTAAAGTAAAATATGATAAAAAGAGAGTAATTCATAAATCCTATTTGAAATTAACTAGTGAATTCAATTATAGATTATACTAACTTATCTACTTGTTTTTCTTCAATCTTTCTTGATTTAATTTCTCTTTCTCTCTCTCTCTCTCTCTCTCTCTCTCTCTCTCTCTCTCTCTCTCTCTCTCTCTCTCACTCTTCTTGATTTTATTCTGTTAATTTTTCTCTTCTTCCTAATGCCTTCTCTTTTCTTGTTTTCATTTGTTTTTTTCTTTTTAATTTCCTTTTTGTTTCCCTTTTTCCTCCTCCTCTCTTTCTTCCCTCTTGTTTTAGTTTTTTCTTGTGACGGTTCTCTCTTTAAATGCCTCCATATTTTATTTCACTCCTTTTTATCCTTACTTTTCTAGGATCAAATTTAAATTTTTAAACACACCCCTTCCTTATGGGTCTGATATTCTAAATGTTGTACTTAATAGTTGTTGTCTTGCAGCTTACATGCCGATCAACAAACATAATAACAAAACCCCAGATTTAAAATTGTTGGACCCTAGAGGGGGGTGATTAGGGTCTTATGCTAATCTAATCCGATTAAATGCCAATTAAAAACTAATTAACAAGTTGTATTCTTGCAAGATAGATATACAAGAGTTATAAGCAAGAATAAGCAATATACAATATGATATATCCTAGCAAAGAGATATATAGCAATGTATATATGCAAGGATATATAAACACAAGGGTAAGCAATGTAAACAAGATAGTGGATGATATAGATAATGAGCTAATGACAATGGCGATATAAGATATGAACATAAATATGAATGAACGCCAAAGCACACTCAAAACAAGCAATATGATCACGGAGTTCGGACCTTCCGTCCTACGTCTCCGCTCCCCACTCCCGGGGAGAAATCCACTATCAACCGGGTTTTCTACGTTCACCCGAATAACGTTTACACCTCACAGTATCGGTTTTCAACGTCACTCCTCACAATCGGTTTTCTAGTTCACCGAAAACTTTCACCCCACACACGGTTTCTAGCTCACCGAAAACCTCACAACACACTCGGTTTCTAGCTCACCGAAAACCTAACAATCTCACAATGTAACAAATATAATTTGTTCTCTAATATGGATGAGAACACAATTAAAGCACAACTCAAAGTTACAATCTCTCACCACCCAACTATACTATGTATGTAAATACTAAAAGCTCAATGTGGGTGTGTGTAACAATGAGTAAAATGAAATCTAACTCAAATAGCAAACTAGCAATAATTAATATATGATAAATCAATAATGAAATTGCTAGGGAAAAGAGTTAGAAAACTTCTCTATAAACACAAAGAGAGGATGAGAAGATTTTGAGGATGAAATCCTCAACTGGTGATGCAAACTCCTCTTTGTAACAGCAAACCCCAAAAACAAACTAAACAAACTCAAACCCTTGTTTAAAACTTTCTTAAACTTGTTTTTAAAACTCTCTTAATCAATCTGAAAAGACATCAGCAATGGGGTATATATACCCACTCAAAGCTCAGCCAAAAACCCCAAAACGAAATGACCAAAAACCCCAGCAAACAGCTCAGAGAAAGAGCCGTTAAAAAGCAACGGCTATATTGTCGGTCGACCGAAATTTTTGTCGGTCGACCGGCAGAGAGCAAAAGCACGAAGAAGAGTTCTGGACCTTCGTCGGTCGACCGGTGCGGTCGACCGATGGAGTTTTTTCGGTCGACCGGTGCGGTCGACCGATGGAGTTTTTTCGGTCGACCGGACCGGTCGACCGACAGACTCTCTGTCGCCCAGTGAGAATATGAACTCAGGTTCGGTCGACCGGTGCGGTCGACCGAAATCTGACATATTCAAAAATTGTTTTGCTGATTTTAAAACGCTGTTTAAAAATATCAAATAAATTCCAAAAAATGTAAAACTTTGGGGAATGATTGTAGACATGATAATAAACATGCTACAACGACTGGTTTCGAAAAAGGACTTCCCAAATGAAAAATATCATCATTTTACAAAATAGTCCAAAACATGAAAATATGAGATACTTGAATTTTGATGTTTTGACATAAACCAACTTTTGAAACTTTGTGAAATGTTTTTGTAGACTTAGTAAAACATGTATAAACTGATATTGAAGTCTATAAACTAAGAATACAGTATTTTCACAAATACAATAGAAAATGAAACCTATGAGTATGTATATGAAAATATATTTGTTTCATATCTATGTAGATAAACCAAATCACAATAATAAATATGAAACATGTAATTTCATATTTATAAACATGAAAACCAAAACTTGTGTTGTATATATATGTGATTACATATATATACAAGGAAACTAATAAAATGTGTGTGTATAGATAATTGAGCTTAGAATATATAACACACATAATATAAATCCTAAACTATGTTACCCAAGCAATCTTGATCTTCAATTAAGCTTGACTTGGTACACTTGCGGATGAAGCTTGAACTTGGATCTTGAACTTTGAATATAGGCTTCAACCCGACATTCCGCCAACCTCCTTTGGATATGATCGTTGAAGCTCTATTCCATCCATCCTCCAACGACGTTGTTTGTCTACAATACATAGGAAAATACAAATACTAGACAAACAACATTAGTAGTAAATTATTTGTAAATCATCATCAAAACAAGAAGGCCAACAAAAATAACAGGCAATTGCCAAACACCAGAATGTATTAAAAATAAAGGAGTGCTATAACAATATTCAACTTCATTAGAAGGTAACTGATGCGATTGTCCCAGGTTACAAAGAAACACACTTATTGTCAAACTTGGTGGCTACACAACAGCTTTATTAGACTTAAAGAGTATCAAAAACTCTAGAGCCACAAAGTCCTAACCTACGATGCCAAAAATTAGCTAGCTCCCTCAATGACAGTAATGCTTGTGCAAACTCAGTTGTGACGGCTCGATAGAGGGATAGACACCATTAATTCTGTTGATGGATTGCTTTCAGTTACTGCAACAAAGACTCAGTCAATTTTTACTGCTGTTATTTTCCTTATTTTTAGCCATTTTCTATTTTCCAATTAAAAAACACTACCAGTCAGTGATGTTAGTGGCTGGATTTTAGTTGTTGTTGATAGTGGAACATGATTCCACGTAGTTGCTTGTTTTTAGGATTCACTAGATAAAATTTTCTGTATTTAAGTATCATTTCTGTTCAATAGAAGTGTGTGGACATTTTACAGCAATATCCCTTGTTGTTCTTGCCTTTATTTCTTTCTCAAAGTCAGTTTTACAGCATAAAACTCCAACAAAGTGGTATCAGAGCTCTCTTCTTGAGGGACCTATAACTGAGAGAAACACATTACATGGATTCAACTGAAACTCCTTTCACTGCACTAGCACCACCTGTCTTCAATGGAGAAGGCTATCACGTGTGGGCAGCAAGAATGGAGGCTTATCTGGAGGCAAATGATCTCTGGGAAGCTGTCGAGGAGGACTACGAAGTTCCTCCATTGCTTGCGAATCCAACCATGGCGCAGATTAAGAATCAAAAGGAGAAGAAATCAAGGAAGTCGAAGGCGAGAGCTACGTTATTTGCTGCTGTCTCACCTGAAATCTTTGTCAGGATTATGACTATGAAGTTAGCTTTTGATGTCTGGAAGTTCCTGAAGAAAGAGTACGAAGGAGATGAGAGGATTAAAGGAATGTAGATTCTCAATTTGATCAGAGAATTTGAACTTCAAAAGATGAAGGATTCAGAGACTGTCAAAGATTATTCTAACAAATTACTCAGCATCGCCAACAAAGTAAGGTTACTTGGCTCTGAATTTCTTGATTCTAGAATTGTTCAAAAGATTCTTGTAACAGTTCCTGAAAGGTTCAAAGCAACCATCTCTGCGCTGGAGAACACTGAGGATTTGTCAAGGGTTAGCTTGACAGAATTTTTGAATGCTTTGCAGACACAAGAACAGAGAAGACTTTTGAGGTCTGAAGGGTCTGAAGGTGCATTAGCTGCAAGAGCTCAGTTCAATCAAGGAGGAAAAGGGAAGAAGAATGAGAAGTGCAAGAAGGGAAGCTCATGTTCTGATTCTCCTAATACCAGTAAGGGAACAAAATCTGATTTTCCTCCTTGTAAACACTATGGAAGGAAGGGTCATCCACCTTTCAAATGCTGGAGAAAGCCAGACCAGCAGTGTGAGAAGTGCTAGAAGATGGGACATCATCATGGAATTTGCAAGAGCAACATTCAACAGAAGAATGTGACACAAGCGAATTTGAAGCAGAAGAATGGTGCTCAAGTAGCTGATCAAGAAGAGGAGGAGCAACTCTTTGTAGCATCTTGTTTTGCTACTAGCAACTCGAGTGACAAGTGGCTTGTTGACAGTGGTTGCACAAACCACATGACATTTGACTGTGATCTATTTAAGGAGCTAGACACTTCTGTGGTATCCAAAGTGAGAATAGGCAATGGAGAATATATTGCAGTTAAGGGAAAAGGCACAGTGGCAATTGAAAGTGCTTCAGGTACAAAACTTATCAGAGATGTTTTATTTGTACCTAACATTAGCCAAAATCTATTGAGTGTTGGCCAATTGCTTGAGAAGGGTTTCAAAGTTATCTTTGAATTAAATCAGTGTCAAATCAAGGATTTAGAAGGCAAAGATGTATTCAAAGTGAAGATGAAGGGGAAGAGTTTTGCACTAGATCCATTGCAGGAGGAGCAAGCAGCTTACTCCTCAGTCGCTAGCATTACAGAAACTTATCATAAAAGACTCGGCCATTTTCACCATACTGCAGTACTGAACTTGCAGAGAAAAGAGCTTGTTGAAGGCCTGCCTCAGCTGGAGTTAGAACTACCAGGTTGCAAGGCCTGTCGATATAGCAAACAAGCAAGACTTCCATTCTAAAAACTGTCTGGAGATCAACTGAGAAGCTACAACTCATCCACACTGATCTTGCTAGACCTCAGAGAACTCCTTCACTTAAGGGGAGTAAATATTACATAATCTTTATTGATGACTTCACTCGTATGTGCTGGATTTATTTTCTCAGATTTAAATCAGAAGTTGCGGGCGTTTTTTGGATATTTAAGCAGTGGATCAAGAATCAAAGTGGTTGTACCATTCAAATGCTAAGGTCAGATAATGGCAAAGAGTATACTTCAGATCAATTCAATCAGTTTTGTGAGGAAGCTAGCATTGAGCATCAGTTAACAGCCCCATACACTCCACAACAAAATGGAGTCAGTGAAAGGAAGAACAGAACAATCTTTGAGATGGCAAGAAGTGAAAGGAAGAACAGAACAATCTTTGAGATGGCAAGATGCATGATGCATGAGAAAAATTTGCCTAAGAAGTATTGGGTAGAAGCAACAAACACGGCAGTGTTCTTGTTGAACAGGCTTCCTACTAAAGCCGTTAATGGGAAGACTCCTTTTGAGGCATGGTATGGGTTCAAACCTAATTTAAAAAATCTAAAAAATTTTGGATGTTTGTGCTTTACTTATGTGCCACAGATCAAGAGAGATAAGCTTGACAAAAAGACAGAGGCAGGGATTTTTGTGGGTTACAATACCGTCTCTAAAGCTTATAGAATTTTCCAACCTCACACAAGTAAAATTCTTATAAGTAGAGATGTGTATTTTATGGAAAATGAAGAATGGAACTGGAAAGGAAAGCAATCAACTTCAGTTTCAAACTAGACTTCAAAATTCCATTTGAAAGAAGATGAATTGGTGGATGAAGTTCTTGTAAGAGGTATGAGATCACTTTCTGATATTTATCAAAGGTGTAATGTTGCTGTTCTTGAACCAGCAGACTTCTGGGAAGCAGAGAAAGATCCAAAATGGATAGCTGCAATGAAGGAGGAGCTGGGCATGATTGAGAAAAATCAGACCTGGCAACTTGTGAAGAGGCCTGCAGATAGGAAAGTGATAGGAGTAAAATGGGTGTTCAGAACAAAATTGAATGCAGATGGCTCAATCAACAAGTACAAAGCCAGGCTTGTTGTGAAAGGGTATGCCCAAATTTTTTGTGTTGATTTTTCTGATACATTTGCTCCTGTTGCTCGACTTGATACAATCAGATTATTACTTGCCATTGCTACACAAAAAAACTGGAAAGTTTACCAGTTAGATGTAAAGTCTGCATTCTTGAATGGTTTTCTTGAGGAGGAGATATACGTTGAGCAGCCTGATGGATTTACAGTCAAAGGGCATGAAGATGATGTGTATTTGCTCAAGAAAGCATTGTATGGCCTGAAGCAGGCACCTAGAGCCTGGTACAGCAGAATTGATGAGCATTTGATGCAACTGGGTTTCAAAAAAAGACTCGGTGAAGCTACACTCTACATTAAAGGTGACGAAGTGAATTTTGTTATTGTCTCATTATACGTTGATGACTTGCTGGTGACAGGAAGTAATGTTGAGCTTGTTAACAAGTTCAAGGAAGACATGAAACAGACCTTTGAAATGACAGATTTGGGAGAGATGGCTTATTTTCTTGGAATGGAGATTCAGCAGAAAAGAGGTGAAGTCTTTGTTTGCCAGAAGAAGTATGCAAAGGAGATCTTAAAAAAATTCAGAATGGAGGATTGCAAGAGCATGCCTACTCCAATGTGTCAAAAGGAGAAGTTGAGCAAACATGATGAAGCTGAAAGAGTTGATGAAACTTTTTACAGAAGCCTGGTTGGTTGCCTCATGTATCTTACAACAACAAGGCCAGATATTTTGCATGCTGTAAGTTTGCTATCCAGGTTCACTAATTGTGCAACTGAAACTCATCTTAGAGCAGCAAAAAGAGTGATTAGATATGTCAAGGGAACATTGGATTTTGGAATAAAGTTCTATGCAAGTCAGAATTGTGTTCTACAGGGATATTCTGATAGTGATCATGCTGGCTCTTCTGATGATATGAAGAGCACTTCTGGTTATTGCTTTAATCTTGGTTCTGGTATTTTTTCATAGTGTTCCAAAAAACAGGAGATTGTTGCACAAGCAACTGCTGAAGCAGAATTTATTGCAGCAACAGCTACTGCAAATCAGGCTTTATGGCTTAGAAAATTGATGGTTGATCTAAATTTGAAGCAAGAAAAGTCCACAGATGTATTTGTGGATAATCAAGCAGCAATTGCAATCTCAACTAATCCTGTTTTTCACGGGAAAACGAAGCATTTCAACATTAAGTTGTTCTTTCTTAGAGATCTACAGAAAGAAGGTTCTGTTGTTCTGAAGTACTGCAAAACTGATCTTCAGCTAGCAGACATTTTCACAAAACCTTTACCAAGAAGCAAATTTGAGTTTCTTAGAGAAAAGCTTGGAGTTTGCAGCAACTAAGCAAGGAGGAGTGTTGTCTTAGAGAAAAGCTTGGAGTTTGCAGCAACTAAGCAAGGAGGAGTGTTGATGGATTGCTTTCAGTTACTGCAACAAAGACTCAGTCAATTTTTACTGCTGTTATTTTCCTTATTTTTAGCCATTTTCTGTTTTCCAGTTAAAAAACACTACCAGTTAGTGATGTTAGTGGCTGGATTTTAGTTGTTGTTGATAGTGGAACATGATTCCACGTAGTTGCTTGTTTTTAGGATTCACTAGATGAAATTTTCTGTATTTAAGTATCATTTCTGTTCAATAGAAGTGTGTGGACATTTTACAGCAATATCCCTTGTTGTTCTTGTCTTTATTTCTTTCTCAAAGTCAGTTTTACAGCATAAAACTCCAACAAATTCCTATCAGTACCCTTAAGAAGAACCTTCCCTGTTGTTTCGTCCTTAACATGCACAGAAGAGGAGTCAAAATTGACCAACAGTTGTTGTCATCACATAAACATTTTACTAATATTAAATTATGTTTAAGATGTGGAGCATGATAAGCAAATTTTAAGTGAAGAGGCCGGGCAGAAGATTCTAAATGTCCATCACCAACGTTGGCAATAGATAACATGTTCCCATTTCCTACTAGTTGTGGTGTCATGTGGGAGGAAGCAGCAGAGTTTGAATACAACAGAGCCTCATTCACATCACAAGTAGATATGGTGGCAAATGATGGAGCAGCATAATTAGGAGGTGAATTGGGTAGTGCATCGTGAGGAACATAGCGAGGACAAGAGGGTGCTATATAACCTGACTAATTAAAGCACAATTGATGAATGACTGTTGATGGGCAAGATCCCAATATTTCATTAGTCGATTCATTAGTTGGCGAAGTCACAAAATAAGAAGATAAAGTAGAGCGCTTATGATCAATATATCAAGACCTCGGTTTTGTGCACGATGCACTGGATTGAACTACTGATTTTGATCACCTCGGTACGTACCACCGTTGTTGTAATGACCACGACCACCTCATCCACGACCACAGCCATCTCGCCAATTGCCTTTACCATGGCTAGTATTGGAATTCTGAGAAGACGACTGCTGGCGATTCTGACCGTTAGTCTGCTGACCCCGGGATGCACCCCCTGGGGTAGTGCCCTGTAGCAAGTTCCTGGTGTTGTGGGGGGTTATACTGCCGTTCTCTTGAGATATTTTACCTGCTGCTCATGAAGAGTCAACTTGGATCTTAGATCATCGAAGGTGATGGAACTGCCAAAATACGTGAATGCAGTAATCAGTGTTTCATAACTCACTGTTTACGCCAGAAAAAGAGCGTGCTACTACACCAATTGTGGGGGGGAGTTAATGGTTGCAAGGGAGTCGACGATCACCTTAATGTCCCGGAGATAGTGTTCCGTAGATTGTGTGTCTAATTTCTTGGCTGTTGCAAGTGTACGCTTCAATTCCATAGCTCTAAGCAAGCTATTAGTGAGTGTTGATAATAGTGTATTGTAGTGGGTTTTAGTCCCACATTGCTTGGGAGAACAAACCTCACACTCCTCTACTTGTATAAATATATGTGCACACTCAATATTCAATTCAAGGGAAATTTACCCAAGATTCTCTCTCTCTCTCTTACTTTAACATGGTATCAGAGCTAGGGCTATTTCCCTTTCAATAAAATTTTTTAACGCTTTTGCGTTCTTTTGCCAAATCTTGGCCTTATTGCTTTGCAGCCGTTTAATGTTTTATTTTTTTTATTTTTATTTTTAATTATTTGGCGTTCATCTGCCAGATATTTTGGCCTTGTCGTTTTGCGGCCTCTTAACGCGTTTCGCGTTCTCGTTTAACCTTCGGGTTCTATTTTAAACCTTCGGGTTTCATTCTAACCTTCGGGTTC